AACAATACGGATAATAAGAGTGTATTCATCATAAAATCGTTAGGTTTGCGCAGTTAATTAATGGCTGGGTAAAAAAAGCACATTAGTGTTGTCAAGTTCATTTAATAAACTGACATTTTGGCGCGAATGCGGAAGACGAGATTCACATCGACCTTCTTAATTAATAGAGACGTCATCATCAGTTAAAATAGGATTAACCCAATTCCTATCTAACCGCAATCTATGGTCTTTGATGGGCGTTCTCAAAAATTAATTGTTGTAACTTTGACCTTTAAATGTAGAAATTCTCACGAAGAAAATGTCAATCGTGTAAAAAACAAGACGAAAAAATTAAGTCTCGCAACTCGATTGTCTTACCGAAAAAAGTTATATGACATAACATCACGCCTTTTATCCCCGAAGGAATAGGCAGAGGTGCACCGACCGAGAGTTGCCCGACCCGGGATCGAACCCGGTGACTCTCACCAAGCGGGCTAACCCCTTGGTGAGAGTCACAGCAATCCTGTCGTCGTTGGTTCAAACAAATCGAAATAAAGAAAGCTAGTTTATTTCAATATCAAAGACTCACAGTCACATTTACAAGAGCTTCGTACTTTCACTTATTTGTTGGCGTACAATATAATTGTAAAATGGTATACTTTACAATAAAATAATAAGTAACCTAATTTACTGTTGGATTATATATCCCCACATATTGCTTAACTTAATGAAGGTATATCAGTTAACAAGTAAACAAAGTAACTTTACGTGAAACGTGAGAATCTCATTAATATAATGATCGTGTTCGCAAATAAAACATAATACAATGTTAGTTACTTACCTGTTCCCGCCAACCTTGCGGTTTCATGGAGTCAACTACGAGTTTTCTGGTAAAGAGGGTAAATGAGCTTGTCTATGGCGCCCTCTCGTGACCTCCCAACGAACAAAACGACAAAGAGAAGTACGGCAACATTTACAGAGAAAATGGCCGTGGGGCAGTCAGGGCGACCCTCCACCCTTTATTTCCTAAGAGCGGCACGACACGCCGCTCGCCGCCCAACTTGCCGAACCTTCCAACGAAATATGTACATAGCGATTTGTGGCCTTTGTCCTAACATATTAATGCGAATTCCAAAACGTATATTTATTAACTTTGGCCACGCGTAAGTGGGTATTTAAATTTACAACGAAAATTCCTGCTTTAACTGCGTTGTTTATGTTTTACATACGTTATGCTAACTTTGTAACTTGTGCTGGCGGATCACCTGATGGTAAGCGATCTGCGCCGCCCATGGACACCCACAACACCAGAGGAATACCAAATCAAACAAAATAAAACACATTAATACAAATATATTTCGTGTTCTATAATAGATTTTGAAATGTGACATCACAAAGTTTAGGATCCCTTCCTCCCCTTTTTTTTTTTTTTTTTAAGGGTGAAAATCATCGGATGACTGCTCCCGCCGGTCTCTCACTACTCCTTAACGTGTGACCACAGATATATTAAATATTTCTGTGAGCGTGACGTAATTTATTGACGGCCCCTTAAGTATTATAATAATAATATAGTATAGATGTATAATAGAAAAACCTTAAGAAACAGCATTGACAATGCCATATCGCTTTCCTATTGAGGAAAAACCATTCTTACTCTAAGGTTGAACCAGAGGAAATATGGTGCCATCTGATTAACGAGCTCATTTTTAAACACATTTCCTGTAATATCTTCGCATTAAGGTTGACTTTTGTATAAATTATGCAAGGACCATGAATTTACCGACATTTAGGTTACTGTGTGCATTTAAATGAGCACAAAGAGTAGTAGTTTTTTTAAATATTTAGGTTATATTTTGATGAAACGCGTATTTTTTTTATGGCGTTACCCAGTAAACGATCAGACGGATCACCTGATGTTTAGCAATCGGCGTCCCCCATGGACACCTGGAACACCAGAGGCATTACAAGTGCGTTACCGGCCTTTTGGGGATTAGGAGTTTTAGGATCGTTGGGGATTCAGGAATTAGGAAGATTGGGGAAGGGGAGGGTAATTGGGCCTCTTGTAACCTCACTCACACGACGAAACACAACGCAAGCATTGCTTCACGTCGGTTTTCTGTGAGGCCGTGGTATCTATTCACTTAAAAAGTGATAATCAGACGATTTGCGTATCCCTAAGTTGACTGTTTGTCGTTTTCCGTTTTCTGGCATTGATCTTAGCAAATATAATGACGTATCATATAATATTGTACCTTCAAATAACACGCTAAAGTTTACCTTTGCGCTTTATCTAATTGAGTAGTACAGTACAGACCTACATTGTAACCTGTGGTTTTATGTCTTTATTAGGTGTAGTACAAAAGGCTTCGCGGAGAACCTAACGGGTAACCGGGGCTCCGGCTCGAAGTGCAGGAGAAGGAACGGGGTGGTTTTTAGTCAGTAAGAGTCTGACACTTTCCCGCCTCACCCAGGCGGGAGAAGTCATTCGACGATTTTCCTCCCTTAAAAAAATCCCGAACTTTGATACATTTTCGACTTAATTAGAAAATTATAAAGTTGAAAATGAATTAACGAAATCGGATAATATGGATATAGATATAGAGATTGACAGGCTGTGCGTGCAAAAATATTTTTTTAAGTTAAATAAAGTTATTTACTACAGCAGGAGATGGGTAATTAGGTAATTATATATCTAATTGTGTTTAGGCATTGTTTTTCCTGTATGTGATTACACGCCGGTACCTACGTGTGAAAATGAATGTAATTGTCACTGAGAAGTTATATATTGAGATGAAGCTGGATCTTGACGGCATTGACTAATTGTTATAACTACAACAGTGACAGATATATGTACCTATATTGTATTCTCTATCCCAATGGAAGCATTCTTGTATTGAATTATTTATCTGTGTCTACTGGTATTAAAGGATCTGTTCTTGCATTTGTATGAACTATTTGTGTAAGGAATAAAAAAACATGAAACAACAGTGACCGATCGGGTTGATCTAGAATGACTACCTACTGCAAGTCCTGCAACTGCCTTCGTTTTTTTGATGCGAGAGGGAGGGTCTAACTCTTACAGACAAAAATTCACCCCGTTCCTATTTCTGCTCTTCGAGCCGGAGCCTCAGTAACCCGTTAAGTCTTCCGCGGCTCCACTTCAACTGCTAACAGCATAAATAGGGACTCCTATAATACTGGACGTAGTATGTCTTAAAATTGTGACCATCGACCGCTATGGACAACTACTAGGTAATCCTTTAAATTTCTGGTGACTTTTGCGATCCTCAAACCGTACTAAGATGGGGATAATAGAAAACTGTAGGTAATTACTCTAATTGCTAAAGAGAGGGAGGCCTTTATTAAGACCTATAGATAGAATAGCTGCGTAATGTACGCCTTGTTGGTTCTAGACTGTCTTTGTTCGAATAAAATCGATAATATTTAGTATTGACCAACCTGATCCTGATATGTTTTGAAATCCCATTGAACCAACAGACCAGTTAATGACTAGACATTTTATAAGATTCGTTGGCAAATCCCCAGATAATTGTATTCATAACAAAAAATGTGTTATAACTTATAACATAAATCGGATGGGTATGCCGGGTGAATGAAAAACAATGTTTTGATTTGATTGACTTGGTATTACAACCACAGCTGCTTCATGTTTGATGTTTCGAAGCGATAAACTGGAAACTTATTATGATGAGCGGCCACAGAAATAGCGAGTACACTAAATGAGAAAGATAAGAAACCTGTATTTTTGAATTAATTACTATTTGATTTCTATGTATAAAATTCCCATTATATTAAATTAACTCGTCGAGTACCGTCATTACAGACACAATTAAAGAACAATAGGTTGCAGTCACCGGTGTCCTCGCGGTATTTGACAGTTTAAATTAAGAAGGTTTACGCCCCATTGTAAAATCGAGTTCAATACCCTACAGAAATCTCGTTATCATTCAATTATTTAGATATCAACAGATTGTATCCAATAAGGGACGTTTTTCCTAACAAACGGTAAGAAAGAATAAAACCGTAAGTAATGAAACGGTGTAGAAATTATTTTTTTCATTGGGTGTTATAATGATTGCCACGAGTTTATACCAAGCAGCGATGATAAATAATTGCCGTAAATAAATCAAGAGCGACATTAGATATTTAATTACGCACGTTAATGCATCTAACGACAGATCACTTTGTTGTCAGATAAAATAGATTAAAAAAAAAATATGTTTACGTTCTTTTTTAATTGCCTGTTTGTTCCTGATGCGCTTAATACAGCGATTCTAGCTATGTCTAGGCTGAAATGTTATGATATTATATATAATATTGAATTGCTACTTAAAGTTATATCAAGAAAGGAGGCCCAATCGCCCCTCCCCAAACCCTGAATCGCCAACAATCCTCACTAATCCCCAATAGGCCGGCAACGCGCTTGTAACGCCTCTGCTGTTCCAGGTGTCCAGGGCGGCGCCGATTACTTACCATCAGGTGATCCGTTTACCGGCTTATCCCACAAAAAACACATCTCCAACCAATACTTATCGATCGCTGATTTTATGGTCTGACCACTACTTAAATTAAACAATAACTTTTGATGAAATCTTATAATCAGCGGGTAATTCCGTACTATGATGGGATTTGGATACAATTGCAAATATTAGCCGGATTTTTAGATATAAAATCAAATAAAAAACTAGGACTTCTTTGCAAACAAGGTCGTTTATTGTAGGTATAGACATGATGCGCGTGCGTTGATTCAGTTTAACGTCAGCGGACCTCTTTAACGGACGCGACACATTATACCTGTAAAAATTCACATAAAATATGTTTAATTAAAATAAATGAATTTAAGTAAATTGTTATTAAACGAACGAGTGTATGATAGTATTTTGAGGAGACATGAAGATTAGATTCACATATTCTTTTAATGTAGGTAAATGAAAATAAAAACTTTATTAACACGTTGTAGTCATAAATGTTACGAGTAACTAAGAACTTTATTGTTTCAGATACAGAATTAACGGAAAAAAGTGAAGTGTTCAAATAAAAATAGGAATAAAACAATGCCTTGACACAGAGGATAAAATATACAAACATAATACAAACAAAAGATTAGTTCAATATCAAAAAGTAGTTCATTTTATTAAAGGTTAAAAAGTGTAGTGTAAAAATGTCCGAGGAAAAGTCACCGGTGCCGGTGGAAGGTCTGAAACCTAATGAAACATGGAGGATCATGAAGAATGTGGTGGTCATCAGCCTGGCTTTCATGGTGCACTTCACAGCATACAGTGTGAGTTTGATTTTTTTTCCTAACTATAAGTCCGCATCTACAGTTTCGCCCATATGATCAAAATGTAGTGCATCTAATAGTCCAGTCAGAACAAAGTAAAAAGTTTGTGGATACAAGAACAAGCTGGAAAGTCTTCCAGGAGTTTAGAAAACCAGAACTTTTAGAAAAATGATGCCCTTTTGAAATTTCGAAAAAAAAAATCAATGTGTTTAAATTTTTCCGAAGGATTTTGTAGATTTCCCGGCATTAATATAACTGGTAAGTTTTCAATATGAAAACGAAGCTGAAATCTCTTTGTTCAGTAGATTGATCGCGGTAAACTACCAAACATATATTCACTTACGAATGTTATCTATTTGAGCCTATTTAGGAGATGCATACGAATCTTGTTAAAACTGATTGTGATTGTACCGAAGGTTAGAAAATGTAAAACAGGTTAAGATAAGAAATCTAGTGTTTTATCGAAAAATATTGATTGTTTTATTGCTATCTTTCATATGTTCCGACACTTTTAACCTACATTAGAAAACAAATCTAGTATTGTTGTAAGTTCCAATGATCATCATTATCTTCACACCTTTAACTCGTCGAGTACCGTCATTATAGACACAATTATAGAACAATAGGTTGCGGTCACCGGTGACCGCTTGGTGTTTGACAGTTTAATTTCCCTGAAGGTATTTTTTTTTTTAAGGGGGGAAAGTCATCAAATGACTGCTCCCGCCTGGGTGAGGCGGGAGGGAGTGTCAGACTCTTACTGACTAAAAACCACCCCGTTCCTTCTCCTGCACGTCGAGCCGGAGCCCCGGTTACCCGTTAGGTTCTCCGCGACTCCCTGAAGGTATAATAAGCATTCGTGCTCGTCTACGTCACTTCTTGTTAGCTGTAACAGCTATAGGTTAGTCCATATAGGTGCAAACCAAACTGCCATAAATGCGGCACTATTCCGGACAATATAATGTCTATAACGTTAAGAAATTTGAAAAACCATAAATCTACACTAATAGTTTAAAGAGGAAAGATTTGATTTTTTGTTTGTTTGTTTAAATGAAATCTCCTCCGAAACTACCGGGCCATTGCCAATAATCTTTTACCATTGGAATCCTACATTATGGATGCGGAACATAGGCTATATTTATTAAAACAGAAAAAAGAGATCTGTGTGAAAATTTTGATAATGTAACCCGAAATGTGAAAATACTCCAAAAATACTCCTTATATTGCTTAAGCTTTTGACTGCCAATAGAAAACTGTTTGCTAAGACTAATAATATTTAGGTGCATTAGAATACGAGATTAAAAAAAAAACACGAATTCAATTAACTGAATACATTTTATTCATGGACTAGCCACTAGACCCACGGTTTCGCTCGCGCTCTTTTAAAGTATTGAGGGCAGGTTTATAAAAGATAAAAAAGAATAGGTACCCGATGTTTTCCTGGTGACAAATATGACATTAATTTTAGGTTACTTGAAAATTACGAAATGTTCCATCCAAACTTCCAGTCCAGTCCCTGTTTTAGGGAAGTGGTGCGTTTGAAAGAAATAAAATGTCGCCTATGCTACTTTCAATCCTTTCTACTATCTCAACTCAGTAAAAAAATCACGTAAATTTTTAACAAAACAAACAGACGTAAACAATTTTAAAATATTAAGTATACCTTTCTATTATTGACAATTTATTTTTTTATTATCATGATACAACATTCAGGTATGCAATTGCAAAGAGGCTGAATACTAATTTTATTAACCATTGAACCTATTTGATTGAAATTTGATTCAACGAGACAACGCGTCACAATAAATATAAATAAATTGATTCTGATGAGATTTGGTCACACAGCATTGCAATTAATCTTGGAGAAGACTAATTAAAAAATCCAAAATTTGCGAGAAGTTATTACTATACGCGGTCTATAGCTAGTCTTAGATGAAATGAACCGGAGACGCCTTACTTAGTAGTTGCGCTTGCACTTGCTCAATTAGACGGGTAACCCCTCTAGGTATGGGTATTCATGTCCAGGTTCCAGGGTATTCACAGTGACGTAAGTACTACCTAAACCAATAAGTATCGGTATTCAAATTTAGCTTCTTAGTAATGTCCAAGACAAATAGTAAATTGAGGTAAATATAAAGATTTTCCTTTGACTAAATGCACTTTTGAAAAGGTCACTTGACTTTACATTGCTGTACCTAAATTAGTCGGCTATTTGCAATAAGAAATTATTAAATGTTTTCGTAAAATTTGGCTTAATTAAAAGTAATAAGACTATAACTTTATATTTTAATCAGCAGAACTGTTAACTTTGGCTTAAGGATAATGACGCCGTTTATTTTTTCGTTTTTTTTTTTTGTAGAATTACCCGGCTACTATGCTACTATCAACATCATATTTTAATAGGAGAAGCAGTGATTTATAAACAATTTCAATGATAAACTTCTTCATCACTAAAATGATCACGCCTTATATGGGGTTCTCACGAACTAAATAAATCGTAATAATATAGGCTCAGAAAGGCAAATGGATAAAAGTACAATATATACATATATAGAGGTACTGTTCCTTCTGCTTAGATGCGCAATTTTTCATTAGAGGTAATTGATTTCGATTATCGAATCAAGACACAAAATGGTAATTTTGGTTGTATCAAATAAATAATATACAATGATCAACGACAACCAATGCGTATTATTAGAAGTAGGTAAAGCATGTATAAATTCAAGTAGGTATGTAATTTACATATCATTATCATCATACTAGACAAGCATTTGTATAAAAGACTTCTTATAAAAATAAATCGTGACAAAACCTTTAATTATATTGATGCTACATTTAGAAGAAGACTTTCCGGAAGCGTCAAGATCGACTGGTACCCATTAGGCGGTGAATACATTTTTTCAATCCTTGGATACTCTTTAGTTTTAGTTTTTATATGACGCTCTGATCTGTGGAGACCTTTACAACGGTATAAATTATTTAGGCGTCAACTGTTTTTTTTTGTTATGGTTTTCTTTTTAATTGTACTGTTTTTTAATAGAATATTAACCAGAAATTTTCGACTCCGATTTTGCGTACAGCCAAAGTGATAGGGCACTGAAGACACAAAATTTCAGAACTCGACCCACTTAAATTAGCTGGAATAAAATAACATCCGCGATATACGTGTAAGCTGAATCAGTGTCAAATCTCAGACGGTGTCACTGTTTCATTGCACTTATGCACATTTGGGGAATAACAATATTGTTGTGTCGTCAAGTGAAAAGGAAAAACAAAATCCTTACTAATATTATAATATTATATTATTATTATGATTTATAAATCAGAAAGTGAGTTTGTTTGTTTGTTCCGCTTTCACGCCGAAACTACTAAACCGATTGCTTTGAATTTTTGCAGACGTAAAGTTATAAGTCTGGATTAAATAATAGGGTACTTTTTATCCCGGAAAAAATTGATATTCTAGAGTGAAAACGAAATTTTTGGTATAGATGGTTTGTGTGTATTGATATACGTCACATAGGCTACTTTTATCCTTTTGTAACGCGAGCGAAGCCGCGGGTAAAAGCTAGTAAATAATAAACATAACTGACGTTTGCAGGGTGCAGCTAACCTTCAAAGCTCTATAAACGCGGAGGCGGGTCTGGGCACCGCGTCACTAGCTGCGGTCTACGCTGGCCTCATTTTCTCAAATATCTTCCTTCCTGTTGTAGTCATAAAGTAAGTTTTTCCAAAACAAATTAATCATGGCACTTGACACTATTCGTATTAGAGGGGTTTCCCTTTCGATGATGAATGGATGCAATTACGGACGGATGGAGTTTGGATGATGGATGATGGATGGTGGTTGATGGATGTTTGGAGGACAAATCTATTCATTCATCGAATCATATGGATGAATGAATGGAAGATCGGTGTAAATTGGATCATTGACCCTTGATCAAAATCAATAAATATTAAATGATAATATAATGTAATACTCATTACTTCGTTTTGCGTTTCAGATGGCTGGGCACAAAATGGGCGATTTCCCTATCGTTCATTACATACATGCCATACATAGCTGCCCAGCTTTACCCTACCTTCTACACCATGATCCCTGCAGGGTTGATCGTGGGTCTTGGAGGCGGGCCGCTCTGGTGCGCCAAATGTACTTACTTGTCTGTGGTGAGTTGTTCTTCTTAACTCGTCGAGTACCGTCTTTGTAGACACAATTATAGAACATTAGGTTGCGGTCACCGGTGACCACTTGGTGTTTGACAGTTTAAGGTACCGTTATTTAATTAATAATTCGGTAAACGAGCGGACGGATCACCTGATGGTAAGCAATCGACATTGCACATAGATTCTTGTAACACCAGAGGTGTTACAAGTGCGTTATCGGCCTTTTGGGGATTAGGAATTTGAGGATTATTGGGGATTCAGGGATTGGGGAGATTGGGAAGGGGGGTAATTGGGCCTCCACTCCGGTAACCCCACTCACACGATGAAACATAACGCAAGTATGACGTCAGTTTTATGTGAGGCCACGGTATCACTCCGGTCGAGCCACTTTACCTTTTATACTTATTCAGGATAGGGCCATTCACGATTGGCTGTTGCGTAACGTATAGTGGTGTTGATTCTCGCATGGTAAGACTGTTACCTATGTGTGTGTGTGGTGTGTCCGTAGTAGTAAGTAAGTATAAACCACAGTGCAGAAGAAATTTTTGTAACATGAACAATATGAACATGAAAATCTTGTACAAAGAATTAAAAAAATGAGTCTAAAGAGCTTAGCTGAAATGTGTGTCGAACTACTATTCGTTATTTCTTTCTGACTGAAAGTCAAAAGATCATACCTTATTTTCTCATAATAATAATAACAGCATATTTATTGGTGCATATATTTTTCAGGTATCAGAAGCTCACAACAAGTTATCCAACATATCAGCCGAGGCCCTGCTGGTTCGGTTCCTTGGCTTGTTCTTCATGATCTTCCAAATGAACCAAGTTTGGGGCAATCTCATCTCTTCACTTGGTTAGTAAGGATTCATTAATTAAGTCTTCATCTATTCTTATCTATACTAATATTATAAAGCTGAAGAGTTTGTTTTTTTGTTTGTTTGTTTGAACGCGCTAATCTCCGAAACTACTGGTCCGATTTGAAAAATTCTTTCTGTGTTGGATAGCCCATTTATCGAGGAAGGCTATAGGCTATAAGATATCACGCTACGATTAATAGGCGCCGACCAGAACGAGTGAAACCGCGCGGAAGTAGCTAGTTAGTTATATATGAGAATTTACTGCTAGTAGGACCGTCACGGTAGAAAAGATTTGTAGCTTAGATTAAATTACGGACTAGTATAGATACTTATACATATCATGCATTATCTAACGATTACTTCTGACTGCAGGTTCTTACATTTCATGACCTGGAAGGTCAGTTGAAGTAGATGATCAACAACGATGCTTTGCATTCTTCTTGATTCATGCAGATTATATCTCGCATTCATTGGTATATACTTTTGTATTCAGATAACGGACCTAGATTTCACGACTTCCTTATATACATACGCATAGAGAAGCCTAAGTGTTTCAGTCTCGAGATCGACCTCTGAAATTAAGTAAAATACCGACTTCTTCTCCTATTCCTTTACCGTTCATGCTGTGAGACTGTGAAATTCTCTGCCGCCTAACATTCGTGACGCTAATCTGTTGCTGTCTTTAAAAAGCTAATTTGATCACTACCTTTCTTCATGAGTACAGATACGTTTTTTATGTGTATTTTATTTATTGTTATTACTATGGAGGTATTACATTTATATTTTTATTATATTTATTTATAATACAGTTATTATTTTGTTTTAGTTTTCTTTTAAACATATTTCTTATTGTAATTTTTTTTCTTCTGTTACACACTGTGTCTCATGTTTTTATTAGAGGTACATTTCCAGTCTCAGGTCTACTAGAAGAAATTCCAACAGGAATAAGTAGCACCTTTGTACTCTTATTTTATAAATGTGTTATCCTCTGTGCTGTTTGTGGGTACATAAATCATTAAATAAATAAAATGAAAAATGTTTCAACTTCGCAATGAAGAGTATGTATGTAAAGCATGGTTTTCTATTATTCTTCAAGTGTTATCATCTGGGAACAACACGGCAGCAGTGACAGCAGTGAATGAGTCGATGATTCCCGTACTATGTGGAGCCAACTTCTTGCCTAGTGCTGATGCTGGAGAGGCTCTGCCCACACAGCCACCAGAGAAGATTCAGATGATTTCAGGTAAGAGAACAAACGTACGAAGAGAAGTAAGACTTTTAAACGCTTATTGTGATTTGTGAAATCCCCCACCAGAACTAAGAACCTCCTTTTGTGAGTCGGTTTCATGAAATAGAATAAAGACGTTTAACTTGACGGCAGTACGGTAATAATTAGAGTGTCATTACTTACCATTGTTATGGGTAGAGTCAAAGAACCATTTTAATTTCAATATTTTAAAAGTAATATGGTTATTCATCAAAGAAGTAAAGGAAGCGACCTTGACTATGTAAGTTAATAAAAATCAGCTTTAACAGGCTCGAAATAAAGTTTAATTTTTTTCTCTTGTACTTGTACATGTATATATTATATAGTATAGTGTATATTGTTTAAAACATAGCTAGCAACGTTTCTTTGTATTGTTCATGGAAAATGTCAATATTAAAGTAAGCGGTAGTCTATTGAGGAAATATAGACACGTCCATACATTATGTTCTAGATTATGAAATCAATAGTTTCACGGTTTTTTAAACATATTCCTTCTTTTACACTAGACTGCTTCGTTAGGCGAGTGGTCGCAAGTGCGACTGCCGGGGCAAGGGGTCTCGGGTTCGATTCCCGGGTCGGGCAAAATATTACTGGGTTTTAAAAAAAACTCAGTAGTCGCACGGGGTCTGGAAATGTGCCCGGTATATGGCAGTAGGCTCACCCCCTATTACATGGGACTCATAACATAAATAGTGAAAAGTGGGCGTTACTTCTGTGTGCACTTCTGCCTACCCCTTCGGGGATAAGAGGCGTGATGTTATGTTATGTTATTCTTTTACAATACTGCGAGTTATTTATGTATTTCGAATAGATTATAGTTTATTAAAATGTATCGATGATAATAGATTATTACTGTGTGTTTTCAGGAATATACCTCGCATGTATGGCCGGGGCAGCGCTTATTGTAGCTATAGGCGTTGACTCTATGAAGAGGTGAGCATAAAGTAATTCTTCATTTCCTTAATGGATTAGTAGATGGAGGAGCAGCATACTACACATACACTGGAGTATGGCACCCACGTTTCATCAATCGTGTCAAAGCATTTATTTTAGTTATTAACACTTTAACTGCACGGTTGGTGCGGTGGCTGGGCAACCGGCTGCCGTGCAACGTGTCGCGGGTTCGATTCCCGCACGGAACAACACTTTGTGTGATCCACAAATTGTTGTTTCGGGTCTGGGTGTCATTGTGTATGTGAACTTGTATGTTTGTAAACGCACCCACGACACAGGAGGAAATCCTAGTGTGGGGCAACGTTTTTTTTTTAAATAAAAAAAAAAAAAAAATAATAATAACTGCCAAGTTTAAAATGGTGAAAGTCAAACCTCCACTAGCGTCAGGCACCGGTGACTGACGTGGCTCTCTAAGGGTTAAGCCTTAATTGGGCACTTTTGAAACGTCAAAATGCTCGTCCCAAAGTATAGCTTCGAATGAAGAAGAACGAGCAAGAAAATCCATCTTTACTATTTAAAAAATAATGTTTTTTTCATTGATTCATCGATCTGATACTTATATTTAGAAGATAAAATCATACTACTTGCCTGAAAATGTATTTAAACTTGTTTCTCTTGCAACAGGTACGACTCCGGTCGCTCAGGGTCTGGTGGAGGACTGTCAGGCATGGCTCTCCTGGCTGTGACCTTGAAGCTGATGGCGGAACCAACGCAGTTGCTACTCGTCATCATCAATATCTTCATTGGACTGCAGCAGGCTTTCTTTGGAGCTGATTTTACCGCTGTGAGTTTGTTATTTGTTTTCTAACAGAAAAATAAAGGTGAGAGTGTGCGCCATGGTGGATTTTGTGGTATTGTTTGTAGTTTGAGAAGGAGAGATCCAAGAACCATTCTCCCCAATCTCGCCAATCCCCGAATCCCCTACAATCCACAAATTCTTAATTCCCAAAACTTGCAACACCTTTAGTGTTTTGGGTATCTATGTGCGGGGCCGATTGCTTACCATTAGGGCGGCACCTAATGGTGATCCGTATAGTTATTTACCGACTTATTCCATAAAGAATAAGTAATTTAGGTGTGAGATAGTCATGCTTTGGTACGAATGCGCCGGCTCGACCGGAGTGATACCACGGCCACATAGAAGACTGACGTAAAGCAACGCTTGCGTTGTGTTACGTCGCGTGAGTGAGGTTACCGGAGGTTCAATTACCCTCCCCCTCTTTCCCAATCCCTGAATCCCCAACAATCCTTTAATTCCTAATCCCAAAAGGCCAGTAACGCACTTGTAATGCCTCTGGTGTTCCAGGTGTCCATGGGCGACGCCGATTGCTTACCATCAGGTGTCTGCTCGTTTGTCGGCCTATCCCATAAAAAAAAGAAAAAGTAATGCCTGGTTATATTTTTCTAACTCAATTTCAGAATCAACTACTTATTACTAAAAGATACTTATGATATTCACAACACGAGTCTTTGTTTCAACCCCGAATCGCATCAATCATCAATCATATTTTTATAATAATTTGTCTTTTATCCATTATTTCCATCTCCTTTTATCCATTCTCCGTGATATTAGTTAATAAATATACCTAATACCTGTGGCATTAGGCGTATTTCATTCATACAAATTGCTATGTATTTGTTTGCAGGCGTTCGTGTCGTGTGCTGTCGGAACCGGCTCAGTTGGGTTCGTTATGATGACTTACGGGTTATCAGATGCTATTGGATGTGTGGTAACAGGATATGTGGCTAAGGTAAGGAAAATCGTTTACAATAATCAATGAGATTACTTCCTTAATAACAAGAAGCTCGGGTTCCAATTTTAGGTATTAAATAATTTTCTGTAAATTTCTACCTGGAATGTTTGCCGGGAGTTTTAAAATTGGCAATTTTGTAGTTTTGATGTGCTCTTTTTGATTTCCATTTTGCACCTTTGTACGTTTGTGTTTTTCCGAGATGGCGGCGCACGCTCGCGCCGCCATCTCGGAAAAATAGCGGATAAAACGTTAACTACAAAATTTTCTACAATTTATATGTCGAAGGCTTTTTTGTAATATATGTAGTTTTGACGCCAGCGCACTAAAGAGTACAGTTTTATGAGCATTTTGGGAAAAAAAGAAATATGGGGGTATTTCCTCCTTAACGATCGGACTATTGGAACATTTATACATGGAAAACATTTTTTCTTTATTGATACTTGAGTCGCATTATGAAATACACATGTATTAAAAATTCATACACCTTCATACTTTCAATCTAGTAATTTTAACATTATCTCCAGTTAACGGGTCGTCTGCCCCTGCTCTGCGGCGCGACAATAGTTCACGCATCGTTGTTCACGGCGGTACTGACGTGGCGGCCTCATGCTGGGGAGGAGTACGTGCTGTACATCATCGCCGTGCTCTGGGGGGTCTGTGACTCCATATGGATCGTACAGATTAATGGTACGTACGCATCATACATAATTATGTTTAACATTATTGCTCAATAAGTCTCAAAGTCACGCGAAAAATGCAAAATAGTACTAGTTATAAATCACTACTAGATATTTATTGGATCAAATCAATTTTGGGTTGAATTGATCAAAATACATATCGAATATGTGACGTTTTTGTAGGTAATTAAAAAAATGGTAAGAGAACCTAATTATTAAAATGGTAAGAGAACAAGAAAATAAAAATACTAAACTCCATTAATGTATAAAAACTTGGATTGTATAAGACACAGACATAAAGAATGTAGTAAGTTTAACAATCAAATACATACTGAAAGAAGCATTGTTGTAAAACGATATTCCATGTACTTATAGTGATGTGTCCTGCCGTAAAGTAAATTGTGCACGTGTATAAGAATTAAAATTAAAAGCGCTATTTTCGCCAATAAACTGTCCAATAGTAGTAATTGGCGATGCTTAGTAATAAGTTAAATGCATGTATCATATTATAAAAAAATAAAAATAAAGAAAATTACTCTTCCCACTCTGGGGCATCGGGTTCTTACTGAATAAAAGTCACTCCGTTTTTACTCCTGCTATAAGCTGGGGCCATGGTGTATCGGTACAGGGCATCTAACTCGAATTCCAAAATTATGTGACTATCTAGTTAACATTCTTTCTACGGTACTATAGATTGATTCATCATCAACAGCCTATGGAGAAGACACACGGAGAAGGTTTGAGCAATTAATCACCACGCTTGGTCAATGCGGGTTGGTGATTACAAACTTATAATTAGAAATTATAAGCCCAGGTTTCCTCACGATGTTTTCCTTCACCGTTTGCCATTTTAGATTGATTAATTCTAACAAAAACATTTTCTTTCCAGCATACTACGGCCTCCTGTTCCCAGGTAGAGAAGAGGCAGCCTTCTCCAACTTCAGACTGTGGGAATCCGTAGGCTACATCATAGCCTATGTCATATCCCCATATCTGAGGACTAGTGCCAAAACGTACCTCATGTTCGGCATGATGATCGTCGGCGTAGCTTGCTACTTCATCGTGGAGTACCAACAGCATATAAAGAAAAGAAAACTGGAGAACAAGAAGAAGGATTTGTGTTATATTACTAATACTAAAGGTTGTGATAATATTGCTTTTCAAACGATAGAATAAAATTTTGTGTAGTGTTACGTAAGTACATTGTATACGTATAATTATGAAACAATATCATGGCTGTAATTTTTCAATAGGAACAATGTTTGTACTAGTAATTGGGTAGTGTCCAGGGTATCGAAATTAAAAATCTAATTAGTCCGTCAGTTAGATAATGAAAAAATATTAGACACGTATTTTTTATTTACTCGTATTAAGTTGCAATACTTAGATAAAATGGCGCTAAGTTTAGGAGTGGGAGGTTGTTACGTCATAACGTGCTACAAAATGTGGCACGCTATGACGTCACACGATATTTTAAATTAATATAATATCGTCGAAAGTATTTAATTTTGTGAGAAAAGAAAAAATACGTGTCTAAAGTTTTAAATTATTGTACCAGGTGGACATTAAAATAAAATTTAGGACCTACCCTATTACAGATGTGTGTTTTGTTTCTCTAATGGCATTTATTTTAATAGTAAATATTCACAGTCGTTGTATGAAGTCTATGGCCCGTGGATGTTACATTATATAATTAATTGCATATTAATGTTAAGCCTTTTATTGTCGTTACCTTAAAAGCTGTACACATTTTGGGATATAAAGTCGAGTCTATAGTTTTTCAGCGCTCGTAAGATAATTTAATACATAATACCAAAATATTATGGATTATACTCCATTTCATTGTCTCGTGTATAGAAAAGTATAAATTGTTTGAATTCATAATTGTTTTAATTAAGATATTTTTGTGTATAATAGTTTATTAAGGTTTTATGTCAAAGCTGCTACAACAAAATTAATTTATAATCTATACTTATTTATATTATTTCATATTGTAAAACTTGTAGTTTTCTTGTTTGTTTGAACGCGCTAATCTCCGGAATTACTGGTCCAATTTGAATAATTTTTGTGTTGTATACTCCATTTATTGAGGAAGAATATAGGCTATAAACATTACGCTACGATCAATAGGACCCAAGCAGTGGGCGCGCGCGGCAGTAGCTAGTTATATTATCCCCAATAAACTAAAATGAAAACCATAACCCATTTAATAGATGTTATATTAACGGAATTATTGAAAAGTATACACAGACTATAAGAAGATTGTTGTAGTAAGTTATGTATTGTAACTGAATGAAATAAAAATGAATATTGAATGTGATAATTTTATTAATTTAAGTATTAATAATTTAAGTGACATTAAATAAGAATTTTAATGTAAATAAAAAAATGGATTTTAGTAAAGTTTGTGGTTTATTCTTCACTCCCGGCTAGTTTCAAGTCACAATAGGGGCTCATAGTCATATGCAGAATTGCTCGACAAACAATGTAAACACCAAGTTCATTGACATCGATATGTCATCAATAAATTGAAAGGGCCTTAAGCTAAATTCTTAATTTAACGTTAATTACTTTGATTATTAAAAACTGATAACATTACTTACATAGTAATATTTTTTTTAATGGGTCGGTAAACTACCTCCCCGATCACCTGATGGTATGCAATCGGCGCCGCCCATGGACGCATGAAACACCAGAGACATTATAAGTGCGTTACCGGCCTGTTCGGGATTAGAAATTTGAGGAGGATTGTTAGAGATTCGGGGATTGGTGAGATTAGGGAGGGGATAATTGGGTCTCCGTCAACCTCACTCACACGACGAAACACAACGGAAGTGTAGTTTCACGTCGGTTTTTTCTCCGTGGTATCACTCCGGTCGATTCGGCCCATTCGTGCCGTAACATGACTCTCCACATTATCTTATAGCCAGTTAGATAATTACACACAATATTATTATTATAGACTGCTTATAATATAATAGGGGACAACGTTTCTTTGGCAGTCGTTGTCAGGTGGCGAAATAGGAATTAGTGATGGGTTTCCAATCACAGTAGCTGTCAAATATTGAACGTCCAATGATATTACACTATCTGATTCCCTATTGGACGAAGAACGACAGGTTCACGCTAGCGCCATCTAATGAGCAAAATACGGAAAACCCCATTATATCTTGTTTATTTAATGTGGACTATAAGGCTGTGGGACTTAGTTATAAAATTGCAAACATTTGTTACCACCGCAACCACTGTAAAATACTTAAGTACGTAGGTACTTACTCAACGTACTTAGGTAGTAGTTCAATATTTATGTAGGAGTACTAAACTTATATTAAAATAAAATTGTGCATTATGAATAACTTATGAATTACACGCGTTTCCATTGTCCAATGAGGTTTTAATACGTTACGATACGATGTCATAAAGATGAGTTTTTAGAGAAGTGTGTTAGGAAATAGTTAAATCTTTGGTATTTAATGTGTAGGTACGTAACTTGTAAAGGTAAGTATTAGGTATCATCATTAGTACCACTTTAGGAAAATGGGTGTGTTATTAGTCCTATGTAATAAAGGCAATTTAAGTTTGTTAACACAATATTAGGTATGAATTATTTTTTCAAGTTTAAGAATGTTTTACCCGATCCGGTAATCGAACATAGGACTCTATATTCACCAGGTCCTACGAAACCTACGAGGCATTCATTTTATCATTGATCAAAATTATCATTTTTAAATGATTGAACCTATGTCAATCGTCATATTTTTATAACTTTGAAATTATCGTACAACAATGAAAACAAAGCGTCGAATCCTTCGTACAGCTAGTTGCACAGGCCACAGGCTCTCTAGTTCCATTTACTTAGTTAGGCACCTATTATCTAGTGGTTCGGACACATTGTACGGCCTGGCCAGCTGGCCGCAAATAAAAATTTAATATAGGCTGAATGTCATTTTTTATCTGTGGTGTTACGTTTAGGCGGGAATTTTTTTCTGGGGTGAAAAATAAAAAGTGATGAAAAACTTCCTTTTTTGGAATTATTGTGGAATTAAACTGAAATTTCTAAGTTAAAATAATTTTGAATATTATTAATTGTTTGAAAGTGAATCTTATCGCATTTATTTACAACGAATTTTCGTTTAAGTGAAGGTGAGTTCATCCAATTTTATGAAATTAGTTTTACATACACGCGAATTAAATTTTAGATATACGCGCATTAAAATTATTCAAATGTTTGTGAAAACTTATTTATTTCGAAATCTCATTTTCTAATCTGAATTTATTTATTTAAATGTGTATTTTTTAAGGCCGATGTAACTAGTACAATTATTTTTTTGTAGTGGAGTTGTTCAAATAATGTTGTTTTATATATTCTTTCTCGTGTACCTATTTATAATTGGCCGAAAATGCAGTGATGAAGGTTTACAGATATAAAAAGCTTTGCAGGACTTTCCTTTCAAATATAGGTCAATAAAGCTGATTTTTATATTACTTAGTTTTGATTCTTGATTAATCTGATTCTAGTAGTTACGATTTTAACTTATTATAAAAAAATAAAAACGACCTAAGTTAAAATCGTAACTACTAGAATCAGATTAATCAAGAATCAAAACTAATATAAAAATCAGCTTTGTTAACGAGTCATAACGTTGTAAACGCACTTTAATTACTATTGCCTATTACTTAGTAGGTACCTACTATATGAAGTCAAAATTATAATACTTATTTTAAAACAGAATTGTCTGTCAGTCTGTTGCTCTGCAAGGTCAGTAGGTCAGTAATGACTGCCTCATTGGGTTTGGGGTTTCAGGTTCGAATCCCTGGAAATTACTCAGATAGCAAACGGTGTCTAAAATCTTGGATGTTCTCATCTCATCCATTTATTAAGTAGGACCCATATCATAACTAGTAAAAAGTTATATAGGCAGTCATGGTCACGATTGCCAATCGTTCAGGGTGAGATTAACGAAATGTCATACAGATTATATTATTCACTTGTCTAACGATTGTCTATAGTCATATTTTTTTTATTTTAAAAGTCGTGGAATAAATTTCAATTGAACTTAACGTGGAGGGCAATGACTAGGTTTTAACCTTTCTATATTTAGAGGTATGTTTGAATGTTTATAGGTATGATTTGTTGCTCTTGAATTTTATCTCTATTGACGAAATGACCTGTAACGCTTTTTGCAACTTTTTTAGGATAAACAGCTTTGGTTTATTTGTTAACAGTTTGATCTGTCTACTTCAGAATATAGTGCTAAAAATATTGCTGTATATGTAAAATTGTGCATAAACCAGTCGATACCTAGTAAAATTCAGTTAGGTATTTTAAAGAATGTTAAAAACGATACTTTTGTGTATTAGTATTTTCTCTTATAATATGACATCGCAACTTATTTATTGTAATACTTATAATACAATAGTTTTACAAAGAATAAAAAAATAACTGGTGAACCATTATAAAAAACGAACTTCGAAAGCGCATACGAACTCATAGTACGTATACATTATTAAAACATCACGCCATGTAATTCTCGAAGAGGTATTTCTCGTGAGCATATGCGTTGCGAGTACCTAGTGCCTACAAATTTACGTCTAGTGTTTCATGTGCGTATTTCCATGAAAATGGTTATTAAATTTAAAATAATATATCTTTATTTTTCTTTGTTTTTACCTTATTCATCGAAAGTACTCCTTATGGCAAATTGTATTGCCGCGGGACAATAACGAAATAGATTTCACGGTGTACCTATATTAGACGTGATATTTCAATTTTATTAGCTAATCAGTCCAAGGTATAAAAAGAAAAACTGGAACATGTCAACAAAGTCTCATGTAATTCAAATCTATGTGTTTAGAGGCCACTGTAGGTACCTACTTACGTATTACCTACATATAATTACAGGACAAATAGGTTTTTTTTTGTCACAGACAGACAGAATGATATAGTAATTTTAGTGTCGTCGTAATTGAGATCGTAATATTGGTACTGAACCTATGATTCTGACATTCAAGGATGGGTGCTCTATATTTTGACACCTACCTAGTGTATAATTTGTGACATTAGGCCATTGTCCTGTTATACTTACATCAAATTTAGAGCAAGGTTTTAAGAACTATGCATAACATGTAAATTGTAGGCTGTGTAGGTTTGAATCTCTAGTGTTAGGGTATATTTTATACGAAATTGGATTGATTGTTATTATATTTAGTAAATAAATTTTACAGTAAAATAATTATAGTTTATCGAAGATTTTTGGGATTCGATGTCAGAACTGATGTCAGATTCTTGTATGTATGACTTTCAGGGTTGGTGTAGTAAAATGTAAAGCTACTGTTGTATAAGTAATTTGGTTTCATTGGAAGGTGACACATTCGCAAGAGTAACAAGCGTTACGTTCATAGGCTGCAAAAACATATTAGACAAAAAATATCGTTGTGGTTTTAATTAGGATTGCTGAGTCACTAAGTGATATATATTTTTTTAATTATAGCAACCTTCTAACTTTAAAATTTAAACAAGTTTACTATTTGATTGTGTTCATATTTTAAGCATGATGATGGATGATTTCATTAAAAAGCAATACTCACCGATCATTTTCCTCTTGTTTAGGTTTACCTTAGAACATCTAAATATCTTTTTATATCATGGTTAAAGAGAGATTTGCTAATTGATAGGTCGGGGCCATACACAATGAGTGTGTGCTTGAATCATTACCGAATAATTAGTGAAACGTATGTAACAAGAATTGTTTCTTGGGAAAAAGCTTGTTTTGTTAAATAAGAGGTTAGATTTATACACTTTTACTTAGGTAACGCTTATATGTAATGCCAAGATTGTATTGAAAATAAAATTGCAGAATTCATTTGATTATTTTTGTTATAACTGATATTGAATTTAAACATTATAATCTTTAATACTTACCTTAAGTATGAAATTGGAATTAAACGAGTTATTAAGTACTAAACACAATACAAACATAACATAATAACATCACGCCTTTTATCCCCGAAGGTGTAGGCAGAGGTGCACATTACGGCACTTAATGCCACTATACAATGTAACACCCACTTTTCACTATTTATGTTATGAGTCCCATGTCTTAGGAAGTGAACGCATTGCAATATACCGGGCACAATTCCAGACTCCGTGTTACCACTGAGATTTTTTTACAAACCCAGTAGTAATTTGTCCGACTCGGGAATGGAATCCGATACCCTTTGCCCGGCAGTCGCACTTGCGACCGCTCGGTCAACGAGGCAGTCTCAATACAAAGTGTACATATATTATTTACAGTACATCGAATCAGAATTATCAATTCAAATCGAATCAATCATAACTAATCGATGCAGTGTTCTTAATTGATAGTATTCTGTACAAAGCATTAAATAAACATACAATTGCAATTGGAAGGTCTATAAAAAAGTATAGTAATAAATAACGCAGGCAGTGTTATATAGTGACATAATATTACATCGCGCTTGTTGTCCGATGAAAGAATAGATTTGTAGATTTCCTACTTATTTATAATTAGCTTTTACCCGCGGCTTCGCTCGCGTCACAAAAGGATAAAAAGCCAATGTGACATTTACCAATACACACAGCGCCATCTATACCAACACTTTGGTTTTCCCTTGGGAATATCAAATTTTTCCGGGATAAAAAGTACCCTATTATTTAACCCGGACTTCTAACTATACATCTGCAAAAATTCAAAGCAATCAGTTTAGTAGTTATGGCGTGAAAGCGGAACAAACAAACAAACAAACTCACTTTCCGATTTATAATATTAGTAAGGATAATTATGTGTATCAGAGAAGTAAATTCATCAATTATTAGACTTTTGAGTAAGTTAGTTTGAAACAACTATAGTTGAAATTAACTTCGGTTTACTGACAATATTTCATACCACGAAACAATATCGTACACTACGGCATAGTTATGTTGTACAAGTTCCTAAAAATATCTTTGCAATCTTGAATTGGATCTCCATGAATGAACAGATGCGCAATATTACTCTGTGTTTAGCATGCCAATTCAATGAACTGATTTTATTGTCGTAATGGTACTCACATCGAATGTTGAATGATTTTTATCAGGTCTACGTGTTGGTATCGATGACAGACAATCGATACAAATTGATTCAATAAAACTGAGATCTTTGGAGAATATATTATAGAAAAATATACTTAAGTAAATAAAATAAAAGGGTCCCTAATATTGCTCCCTGAGTTTGTCTCTCTCTGTTAGCGGAGTATCAAATACGCACGCAGAGGCCTTAAAACACCCATAGGAGAAGAAAGACCGACTCGACTTAAGTCACAGAAATGGTTGATTAAACAATTAAGTAAATTATGAAGCTTATTATAGGAATGATTCATACATATCTATTTGTATAGTGTAAAATTAATTTAAGCTTTGATTTATTTAGTTCGTGCAAACAATCGACCTTAAATGAACGGCAGGCCAAGGTTACTAAGTTAGTATTGTATCCGTGCGAATAGTATTTTATAATGAACCTTAGCTTTATTATTTATTTAGCTTATTACCTAACATTTTTTATGGAATTTATTACTGCCTATGATAATGTGCCTAGAGTAATTAATTTTTAAAGGTAAATTACCTATTGCTTCGTTGGTATTCGTTTGCACAAAGTAGAGACATTTTTCACCAATTAGATTATAAGTAAAACTCTGATTTCTATTTCTGACCCTTAGTAGTATCTAAATAAAGGGTGGTGTTCCTACTTCTAGAGACTTTTGCGTCTTGAAGAAGCTCGTGAATGATATGAGCGGCAGCCGCCGATAGACGTATATCGATAAGACATCTATTAAAATAAGTAGTTCTCATTCTCTGTTTTCTATATTTAGGTAATGCGCCATCTCGAGCGTTTGAACACAATCAACTTCCTAGACTAGACTTCCCATTTATACATCTTGCATTTATAGGCCATATTTTGTTTCAGTTATTTGTTCGCACATAACCGGTTCGCCCTGGTAATATCGACACAATCAGTTAATTCCGATATCCTTGAATGCAAACTAAGAGAAGGGAAGCGGAGCACGTATTGTGAATTGTGATATCTATTAACTTTTTAATAGGATAACAATGTTTCTTTGAATGTGTAATTGTTTGAATATTTAATTAGGGTAAACGAGAGCTTGCTCAGACTTTTTAGTAGAAGCTCAAAGGTTGTGATTGTATTCGTACTAGCCTATGGTAGTAAGCGTATCTCTTAGATATGAGGGACGTAGGCTTCTTAACTAGAGGTTCCTTCAAACGTTATCTATCATCAAGAAATTATGTCAGAAGAAATTAGAAATATTTTTTAACTTCCTTATTGATTTTTTTATTTCAGTTATTAACTTCCCACAATGCCGGAATCATCAGTGGTCTTCGGTACAAATGAAAAATGGCGAATAAATCGCAATATCTTGGTGATGGGGTTCGCGTTTATGGTGCATTTCACTGCTTTCCACGGCACTGCCAACCTTCAGAGCTCAGTGAACAGCGACGCAGGCGCAGGAACATTTACCCTGGCAGCGATATATTTCTCACTTATCCTATCTAATATACTACTACCTGCTGTTGTAATCAAGTGAGTTTTATTTTTTTAATATGTGCTATGTCGAAGCGTAACACTAAGCTTCTAAAAATGTATGTTATTAGCGAATGCTATTGCTTGTGAAAAGTGATTGTTGCCAAGTATCTCACACTACTTTTTCAACCTACCAAATGCGATATAACCTTTTCAAACGTTTCTAACTACTTTTTCCACAGATGGCTGGGCTGCAAGTGGGCTGTGGCAATATCTTTCATAGCCTACATGCCGTTTATAGCCGCACAGTTCTACCCCCGGCTGTACACCCTGGTGCCAGCTGGTATGATGGTGGGGTTCGGTGGCGGACCACTTTGGTGCGCCAAATGCACATATCTGTCTGTGGTAAGTTATCAAATAAACAACTCTAGTATTTAATATCCGAATACTCAAACATCACTTAATTTGAAGTCGCGCTTAAGTATAGTTCTGCCACTACAAACTCTTTGTAAAGTGATAGAGATGGCACGATATTCCATTAAGTACCTACAAAATAAAATTTAGTAGCCTTTCAGTATTCGGGCGTAAATCTACTAATAATTATAGTTTGTTAGGATTAATCGCAATCAGAATATTTTTGAATAAAAGCTATATTTTTGCATATATTTCAGTATATACGTAAACTAATAACTATCGTGAGACATACTAAATTAGTGAGCGGCGCGACGTCGCCGCGACCGCGCACGCTGCTCATGAGGAAGAACCCCTCTGTGGTTCGAAACTAGTAGAGCTTTTCTCAGTATATTCACGTGAGTAACCCGCGTTTTTACTTAATTTATATACGTAAACTAATGGAAATTCATAATTTTTCACAATATTATACGTCTAGGTTGGACCTGGGGTCATGGGCGCATAGAGTGGGGAATCTAGGCGTCCACCTAATGACCACAAGGATGACGGCGGCACAGTGGTCACGTGCCGCCGTGCAGTGCACAGAGAGGCTCTAGGAGAGACACATAGGTCTCCATAGGGAGGTGCCGTAACAGGCGTTGCACTATGAGGGCACCGGAGTTGGTCTACTAAGAGGACCCGGTGCCCCCTTCAAGTGCGGATGGTGGCCACCGGGGAGGTTTTAGTGAGGTAAAAATCCCACACTCCCTAGTCTTTTTTCCCCAAAAAGCTAGGCGCCTTTGGAAGGTTTCCCCCCGTCAAAAAAAAAAAAAAAAAAGGTTGGACCTAGACGTGTATATAACAGGCTGTTTCCGAGAATACTGACGGAAGTAAGCTTTTTGTAAACAACGACCTCTACAAAGCAAATGTTAATAAATTGTATCATTCTAATTGTACCAGTATTATAAGCTCACTAAGGAACTAACGAACTAGTTTTATACGACCTAACTGACGTTGCTCAAAGAGGTCACCATAATATAGCAACCAGGCTTTATTCAAAACAGGATTATAAAGAACTAACTACCTTAACTATGAAGGTGCTTAAAATGTATGCACACGTACATTTTTAAATTCATTATACATATTTCATTACAAAAATAGTACCGTATGTCATATTTTTTTGGTCTGTATAAGACCCGTATACGATAACGCGATTATCATTCATAGGCTTATGTAGATTTTTACATATTAATATATACCTAAGGAAGTAGTTAATATATTCTTGTATGAATTGGTACGTTTGAAGAATATGTATAGCTTAATTTAATTTTGGACCCTTCAATTGTCTATTGACAAAGTTTGGCATATAAATGATCACATATTGGGACACCGTGGAGTTACGCATGAAATTAACCTGCGTTAATAGCAGTAACTGATCCTAAAACCTATGTTAATTTAAGTTTTGAGGTTCCTAAGCCGAGGTTATGATATATTGTATTCAAAAATTAAAAGGGTCAAGCCCAGGAAGGCACCGGCATGATTTTCAATTACTTTTCTAACAGTGTATGCTTTGCATACAGTACATATATGGATTATGAAATAACGTTGTGAAAGAATTAAAAACACGAGACCAGCTCATTCATCTTTTTTCAGTTAAAGGAAATATGAGAATTGCATACGGTCTCGCAGAAAACCGATGTGAAACAACGCTTGCGTTGTGTGTTCGCCTCTGGTGTTCCAGGTGTCCATGGGCGACGCGACGCCGATTACTTACCATCAGGTGATCCGTCGGCTAGTTTACCGGCTTATCACACAAAAAAAATATATAAATCACGGCTTTGTCCCGCAAAGATAGGTCGAAACGGAAAGTCACCTATTACAATACTTTTTTTGAGGGGGTAAATTATCTAATGATTTCTCTCGCCCGGGTGAGGCGAAAGAGGGTGCCAGACTCTTACTTGTACTGTGGGCGGGAGCCCCGCAATCTGTTAAGTCTTCCGTGGCTCCGTATCGGCATCAGCCCTGTTGGGTCCCATGTGGTGCTTTGATGGCTCTTTGAGGCGCGCGCGGAACGCGACGCGCCTTACGCTCGGGCCTGGTTCTGGTCGGGCGTCGAGTCACCCGTGCTCGGCGTCCGCAGGCCCGTGCTTACGGTGGCCAGAGACCGTCTCGCGATCCCTGACGTCCGGAGTGTCTCTCGCGACGGCTGCTGGGGCGTGAGGAGGTTCGTTCTCCTCACGCGCCCCGCCTCTTCCTTAGCTAGCATGACTGCTTCGCAGAAGGAGGAGACGGCATCCCAGTTCCACCTATTATAATACTTAGCTACCTAACTCCTTAACTACTATCACAATCAGGCTATAATTTTGTCGTTTTTCATTTTTCATCTATTTTCGGTTTCTTAGAAATAAATTTTAAAAACTATTAAGGTCAATGTCAATAATTTTTACAGGTAGCGGAACCTTACGCCAAGCTGTCAGGGGTGTCAGCTGAAGTGCTAGTGGTGCGGTTCTTTGGACTCTTCTTTATGTTCTATCAGATGGCGCAGATCTGGGGAAACCTGATATCTTCTGCTAGTAAGTACGAACCATATTTTTTTTAAGTGGGGAAAATCATCGAGTGACTTCTCCAGCCTGGGTGAGGCGGGAGACTGACTAAAAACCACCCCATTCCTACTCCTGGTAATTCGTTAAGTTCTGTGAAGTATCGGCGTCAGCCCTATTGAGCTCCATCTGTGGTGGTCTGATGGCTCTATGAGGCGCGTGCGGAACGCGACGCACCCAGGCGGGAGCACTCATTCGATGATTTTACCCCTTTAAAAAAAAACCTATGCTAGATCGAAATGCGCAAATCATTATTGGACACGTAATTTTCAGTCATTAATTAATAAAATGATGTGCCAAGTGGGACGTATTTCCTGCGAACTAATGACGGATGCAGTTTAAAGTTTAATTAAAATCATCATCAGTCATTATGTCTAATGTTTAGTCATGTATTGTATATATGAATACTCAATCAGATGATCCGATATATGGCAACGTGAGAATAATGTATGAAAATAGAAAAATACATAACATATTATTATCGACTTAATCGAATTCGACGTCCGTATAGCAGAAGTACTCGTGACGTTAATGCGTTAAATGACATATTTTATTTAAAACCATAATAAAACGACTTATTTTTAACTAATATTTAGAGAATGGGCGATTAAAATTGTTTTTCAGTAACAACAAGGTCGATGACATTAGGCAAAAACTTATTTACGCATGATTAGCAACAAAAAGCTAAATAAACATTGAATGTACTATAAATACTACGATACAAGGTCGTATAAATTCGGAACATACTTCCTTGCAAAGACAAGTGTTTAGTGAAAGTTAAGGTAAATTGCACGATGTCAATGACCTTGAAGGTTCAGTAGTATATAAATATTACATTACTGATTAATTACTATGATAAGGAGAGGAAGTAAAGGATATTAGGAAGTATGATTTAGAAGAGAGAGGACTGTCTGATTGCTCAAGCCGTTGCTAGTCCGTGTTCCGTATTCGTTCGTTAAACAGCTATCTAAATGTAATTAAGATGACAATAATAATTGCAAAAGATTTCAGTGCTTAACATTAAGTAGTAGCCTTAGGTTTAAGTTTCAAGAAACGTCATTCTCAATAAAACATACAATGTCACTTACTTGAGAACAACACTAAGAAAATAAATATACACACAACTACATAATTATAAACGAACAAATTCATCCATCCAACGCAATCATTTCCCCATAAGTGATTGATTTGTAACTATATACTGGCTAAGTTGGGTTTTGAATGCACTAAAAGTGTAGTTTTCGTATACATGACGGTATTTTATTGTAAAGTTGTGCTTCCTCAAAAGTCAGGTCTTTACGACGAAGTCATTACGACCAATGCATAACTGGCATATAGTTAATGTTGTGTGAATTGGCCGTTGAAGGATGCACAGTTTTAAGACACTATTGCACCAATCTTTGACTGCCTCGTTGGCCGGGTGGTCGCAATTGCGACTGCCGGGTAAGGGGTCTCGGGTTCGATTCCCGGGTCGGGCAAAGTATTACTGGGTTTTTAAAAAATTCTCAGTAGTAGCACGGAGTCTGGAACTGTGCCCGGTATATGGCAATAGTATATGGTACGGTATATGGCTATTACATGGGACTCATAACATAAATAGTGAAAAGTGGGTGTTACATTGTACAGTGGTATAATGTGCACCTCTGCCTACCCCTTCGAGGATAAAAGGCGTGATGTTATGTTATGATGTTTATGCACCAATCTGTCACCAGAACTGCTGTTTATTCAATCAAATTTTTCTTGGTGACAATTTTCCATCTTCAATGGGTAGTGGTACAACGGCCAAGTCACACAACAGTAACTATAATAAAATAACAAATCGCAGTACCTTAGACTTGACACGACTTTGTCTATATTTCATTACCTATTAGAGATATACAAGCGGCTCCATCGAGACTTAGTTAGTTTTTTACAGAATGTTTTTGGTTGGATGTTAGTTTACTTCACTTCGGTTTCAGTAATCAATACTCAATAAGTAATTTTTAGTTCAGTATAAACGAATACAACATGACAAACCTTCACATTTGAATCAGAAAGGCTTCCAAACGACGTTTGATTTACAGTGATGTTAGGTAACCCAATGGTTGTTTTGCTTTTCAGTTCTATCTTCTAACCTGGGCGATGAGCCAGGACTGTGGAATGCCACTTCAAGCCTAGCAGACTTGTTTAATAATGAAACTAGTTCGCCTACTGTAGACTTTGGGTCTACTTGCGGTGTCAACTTCTGCAGTGCCAGTGCATCTCATGTAAGTCTTTAAAAAATTACGTCATTTTTAACCGACTTCAAAAAAGGAGGTTCTTGGTATGATCTGTATGTATATATGTATGAATGTATGTGTATATGTGTGTATGTTTTCAGAAAAGTGTTTGTTACGGTTACGACAAGGTTTTAGTATATTAATTTACTGATTTCAAAACAAGAGGGGGTTGAAGTCGGTTTTTTAAACGAGCACACCTTACTACTATACTTAAATAATTATCATAATGTCTCTTGTTCTTCTAGTAGTTGTTTTGGTTACGATATATGTAACTTGTTTATTAGGATTCTGGATTTAAAGAATAACTTCTCCACTTATTTCGAAGTTCAAGAGATAATGGTCTGATATCAGGCATAGCAATCATTGGGTGACGATTACATAGACTAGGATCATTGTATATTTTAGTATATGAGCTCTCCTAGTCGGAGGATTCCCCTTACAACATAGAGGAGAAACCATACTCCGATCTGTAATCTAAAATCGTAACTAGCAGCTATTCTTATACTGCTGCTGCTAGCTTCATTGCAAAATTGGACGTTAATTATATTGCCATACGTTGCCAGGGCAATACAAATCTGCAACCTCCTTCAGAACTGAAGATCCAGGTGATAGCGGGAGTATACCTCGCTTGTATGGCTGCTGCAGTCATACTAGTGGCCTTTGGAGTCGATTCACTTACCAGGTAAACAAGGATTTTGACTCAGTTTAAGAATTTTATGTGTAGTTGAGGAAGGACTTACTCCTGTAATTCGACGAGGTTATTCGACTAATTTCAAGTCACGCCAGGGGCTTATAGTGAACAAAATAGCGCAACAAATGACTTGTCGAGGGTCACGCAGCTAATAGAACTATGACCAAGAATAAAGTATGAGATCCCGCTGGGGTTTAAAACCATTGTCGATTTAATAGTCATAATACAAAAATACAAAGTTTAAGTACTTTTGGTTTAATAGCTGACATTATATTTTTTAAATTGGTATTAGGTGGGCCACTGTCTCTCCTAGTGGTAAGAATATTGTAAATAATAATTTATTCATTATGTTAACCATTCTCAGGTACACTGGAGGTCGTAACACAGCGTGTCAGGGTAAGTCTGGAGTACGCCTTTTAGCCGTAACCCTTCGACAGTTACGTCACAAGTACCAACTGCTTCTACTACCAGTTATCGGATATATTGGTGCTGAACAAGCTTTCATGGCGGCTGATTTTACACAGGTTCGTATTTTTGAGGGTTTTTGTGCAATAGTAAGAATGGTTAATTTAGTTAATGATCGAAAGTATTTATTGTAATTTCTATGTCTGTTTCATATACTTATTTTTTTCTAAAATGCCTGACGATATAGATAGAGCAATATTACGATTTGTTCATTGCATAACGAGATTCACTAGGAGTACCTACTGTTGCTTCTATTATTAAAGTTAGGTAGAAACTAATACCTATACATATATACCTATAACTAAAATAATTCGCTTTTTATTTACTAATGGATAAAATATTTAAATTCTCTGTAAGCTGATCATTGACGGTTATCGTGTGATCGAAAGTAGCAAAGAAACGTTTAGTTAATTATATACCAATGATTAATAAACTACTGAAAGAAATCTTACTTATTTGAAAAACAGTGGAACAAAATTAATACCAGTAATATACTTGTAATATTTCTAATTTACTGTCTCGTTGGCCGAATGGTCGCAAGTGCGACTGCCGGGCAAGTCGGGGTCTCGGGTTCGATTCCCGGGTCGGGCAAAGTACGTACTACTAGTTTATTTTTTAATTCTTAATAGTAGCACGGAGTCTGGAATTGTGCCCGGTATATGGCAATAGGCTCACCCCCTATTACATGGGACTCATAACATAAATAGTGAAAAGTGGGTGTAACATTGTACAGTGGCATTAAGTGCCGTAATGTGCATCTCTGCCTACCACTTCGGGGGTAAAAGGCATGATGTTATGATGTTATGTATTTCTCATATCCATTGTAAAATTACGTATAGCTATAACAAATTGTCCAGGCATTCATCGGCTGTGCGTACGGTATCAGTAACATTGGGTACGTGATGATTTGCTTCGGAGTGTTCAACGCGTTGGCTGCACCCGTCGCCGGAGCACTCGTCAAGGTCACCGGCAGGTTCCCAGTTATGGTCACTGCACTGGTAAGTGACACCTAATATTTTTTGATTGATCAATAAAAACATTATAACGCACTTTTACCAATCCAAGAAATTTTTCATGTAAAAATCACTACATAGTATAAAGTCGCTGTCCGCCGTCTGTCTGCCCCAATGTATGCTTAGATCTTTAAAACCACGCAACGGATTTTGATGCGGTTTTGTTAATAGACAGACTGATTCTTAGGTTTATAGGTTCTATAGCTTTATATGTATAGTATGCATATTGCACCCGTGCGAAGCCGGGGCGGGTCACTAGTAAAAATGTGAAAAGTTTTCACGTAGTACCTACATCAATAATCATAGATAACTATAGATGAAGAAATGGTTTAAAACCTTTACGCCTCTTTCTTGTTTGTTTAACAAAATTAGTAGTTGTTGACCAAGTACAAGTTTTCCTTCAAGTATCACGCTAAGTCTATAGATCTATTTTCTTTTGCTAATTTTACGGTACGTACGGAGAACGAGTGTATTCTAAAGATCTGATTTTGCTAGAATATTTCAATAACCGGTTATTGTTTTTTAATACATTGCCACACACTAGGAATTTCTCTTGCATCGTGGGTGCGATTACAAACATACAAGTTCACATACACATGACACCAGACCCGAAACAATCACTCGTGGTCTCGTGGATCACAAAAAGAGTTATTCCGTGCGGGAATTGAAACCGCGACAGGTTGCCCAGCTACCGCACCAACTGTGCAGTCATATAATCGAAATAGAAATGTATGCATAGAATACCTTTTTTTCATAGCATAAGCCGGTAAACGAGCAGACGGATCACCTGATGGTAAGGAATCGGCGTCACCCATGGACACCCGAAACACTAAGGCGTTACAAGTGCGTTACCGGCCTTTTGGGTATTGGGAATTTGAGGATTGTGGAGGATTCGGAGATTATGGAGGAGGGTAATTGGGCCTCCGGTAACCTTACTCACACGACGAAACAACGCAAGCGTTGTTTCACGTCGGTTTTCTGTGAGGCCGTGGTATCACTCCGGTCGAGCCGGCCCATTCGTGACGAAGCATGGCTCTCCCACACTTGCCTAAATGTAATTCAGTTGTACTGTAACATTCCAGTTACTGAACCTCTGTCTCCTCACGTCTCTGCTGTACTGGCGTCCGGAGCCCGAGCAATGGTTGGTGTTCTACGCGCTGGCCGCCATCTGGGGAACTGCTGACGCTGTGTGGCTGGTGCAAGTTAATGGTAGGATTTGTAGCACTTCTAAGATATAGCAACAATCTGAAACGCGCAGGATCGAGTAATGGGGTAGTTTCCTAAATTTTATTTTAATGTCCGTCTGGTACATTAATTTAAAACTTTTGACACGTATTTTTTCTTTTCTCACACAATTAAATACTTTCGACGATATATTAATTTGAAATATCATGCGACGTCACAGCGTGTCACATTTTGTAGCACGTTATGACGTAGCGACCTGCCACTCGTAAACTTAGCGCCATTTTATCTAAGTATTGCAACTTAATACGAGAAAATACAAAAATACGTGTCTTATATTTTTTCATTATGTAACTGACGGACTAATTAGAATTTTAATTTTGATACCCTGGTAACTACCCAATTAGGTATCTTTATGATATCAACTACAAGACGTCTGTTGTGCATAAGCCTGCCTCAATTATTTCAAGATTGACTGGTTGACTTAGATCCAGTGGCTCTTTGTGACCTTTATCAGATAGTATTAATATGTCTCCTGTCCACCTTCAAGTTGGTAGTTTACTACATAAACAATCATAGTTATTACTGCTCATTTCTTCTCCGCATGAGACTTAGGTAGTAGGTCATTCTTTATTTATCCTCGAAACAGAAACGTTGACATGAAATACTGATCAGTCTTTATTCAATTAATATTTGTGTGTGTCTATTTCAGCATTCTCAGGCATCCTATTCCCGGGCAACGAAGAAGCAGCTTACTCCAACTTCCGTCTTTGGGAGGCGACTGGCAGTGTACTGTCATATGCCACTGCACCATACTTATGTGTCAGGACAAGGTAAGAGGAACATATTTACAAGTTAACAACGTCTCTATTCTACGTGATCCATCATTTGTGCACTCAACTTTTGCAAACCCCTGAAACACATAGGCGAAAACTCTTTTGTTTTCGGATGGGGGTAAATCATTGAATGACTTCCTCGGATCTGGGTTAGGTAAGAGGGAATGTTGGACCCTTAATGATTAAACACTGCCCCGGTCCTATTATATTGCTTACCGGAGTCGAGGCTGCGGTGACTTGCGAGGTTGTCCCGAGAGTCATAAAACATATGTATATCCTATTTACACTTAACATAATGATCAATGCTTTGCTCGTTGGCCGAGTGGTCGCAAGTGCGACTGCCAGGAAAGGGGTTCGATTCCCGGGTCGGGCAAAGTATTATTGGGTTTTTAAAAAATTCTCAGTATTAGCACGGAGTCTGGAATTGTGCCCGGTATATGGCAATAGGCTCATGTCAATGTGCCCCTATTACATGGGATTCATAACATAAATAGTGAAAACTGGGTGTTACATTGTACAGTGGCATAATGTGCACCTCTGCCTACCCCTTCAGGAATAAAAGGCGTGATGTTATATGTTTATAATGATCAATTACGAAGAGATATCCTATTACAATATTTTTGTTAAAGAGTCCTATTTTTTTCAGGTTATATTGCCTCTTAGGCTTCCTTCTAGTCGGTTTCTTAGGCTACAGTATCATAGAGCTGATGGAGTACAAAGTGAAAAAGGCTCATCATCTCGAGAGGAACTTTGAACTTGTTGAGAAGAAACCTGAACAGGAATCGCTCAGGAAACCTTCTGAAACTGAAGGGGATTACTGAAGATAGACTTATATAAAAAGAAAAGAATATATGAGGAGAATATTATATTCTGAGTTTTTACATGTTTGTTTGTGTATGTACCTATGTGTTATAGTAATCATCTTAGAGTTTCAAATATAATACGATTGCGATTAGAGGTTTGGTCTCCGGCTCAGCATGTCTATTCAGATTATTGTTGGTAAAAATATAGTATAATCAGTAGCTATAGCTATGTATTAAAGTATTGTTAAGTATCCGTCCTCATGATATTTAGGTAATCTATAATAGTATATTAATAAGTTTAACAATAGTATTTACCAATAAATATGAGTTAGAAAATTACTTAAGAATTCGAAATAATTTAATTAGGTTGTTTTAAAATGTATTCTAATCATTACCTTGTTGGAGAAAAGCAGAAGAAAAGTAATAAATGATATGATACTCAAGTTTAAAATGTATTAATCTAAACTAAAAATTAAAAAAAAACAATTAAAAATAAAACAATGAAAAAGTAGTTTCATTAAATTGTCGCTTTTATTTCTCTTCACATAAATACTTAAAGGGTTGGATCGTACTCGATCGGCTAGACAAGCTAAACAATAACTAAGTACAATGTTCGCAGGGAAACTAACAAAGTGACTAAACCCTTGTTATACACAATAGTTATACATTAAAAATAACAATAACCGAAGTTATATCGAAGACAAGTCGCAAAAACAATAAAAAATCACGATTTTTTTACATTCAACCTTAGTATTCCGGACTTTTTAGTTGGAGATACCTAGGTGGACTTTTACTTAGCATGTGTATTTGTAGCATTTCATTCCTCTTATATCTCTTGGATATACAGAGTGTATATATAGTGAAGAAAACGACAATTTAATAGGCTCACAAACCACATGCTAAGTCTTGTGTTACACGTCTATGTATATCAGATTTGTTTACATACAAAATGCCATTGAAATGGTCCGTAGACTCAATATTATAAACAACTTTAGCAAAAAGATCAACCATTTCCAAACAAATAGGTAGTCGATAAAATTGTTAAATTCGTTCATAATGACAGGTGCACTGTTTTGAAAAAAGTATTTGAAAACACATAAACGTACCTAAAGTATCTCCAAGCTTGTTTAAGATGGTATTTTATAAATGAAAAGCTGTTTAATAGTGATTGGCGGTGGTATCTCACATGCAATAATACAAAATGTACTATTGCCGTATTAAATCTCAACCTCAATGGTTTTTCATTTTGTACAAATTAAACAGCTATTCAGTGATAAAATAGAATACTTTGTAAAGAACTTAACGGAAGTATATGTAGGTACAAATTTACACGCCCTATGTATAATATCCAATAAGTCACTGTTTACACAAAGCTGTGATCAAATATATAAAGGTCTATTAAAAATAATCACTTATTGACAATAATTCGTCAAGTAATCTATGCATAGAAAACTATTTATTATTATGTATTATTATCGTCCAATTTAAAGCGTACAACCGTAATACTTTTCTGAAAGTGTTATGATTATTAAAATAATAATATTGTAATTATATTTTTATTATTCTAATTAAGGAAGACTGTTCAAGGCACAGTTTATCTACGTACCGAAATAGCACCTTACGATTTTGATGATATGTTGGTCGTTATATGATTATTAAGGTCACTGGTGAGTTTTCTTATTTGGAAAATACAATATTTTGACTTGAAATTATCAGAAAAATATTCTTTAACTTTACTTTTGCTTAGGTTTTGTCAATCAAATCTATTCATTTAAAATAATAATGCTGTTTTCCGATTCCTATGATCGTTATTACCAAATAAGACACAAAATTCAATTATCAAAAACATCACTGGGTATATCAATAATAATGATTCAAATTCCAAGTCAAAATATCATTACAAAAGTCTTTGATTATTATATTTTTTCCTGTAACAGGGTAAGTAGTATTATTTGATCCACATTCTTACTATACAAGCTGTGTTCACATCCCCAGTAACCCGTTTTACCTACTAAATAAGTATACCGTTTATTTAACCACTCTATTTTGGCAATTAAGGAGATTACCACAGGAAAACCATGTTTTTTATACAATATCTGTAGGAATTACTATCTAGATCTATTTTAAACGACGTCTGTGCTCGCAACTGGTCAAATCATAAAAAAAATTAGAAAAAATCGAGATTAACTGAAACCCTAGCAATATTTTGGTAAAATTTGCATGAAATGTGATTGCGCACGCTGCTCATGAGGAAGAACCCCTCTGTGGCTCATGTTTTCTTTGTGTATATGTACCACAGTTCGCAACGAAATGTGGTAGAGCGTTTCTCAGTATATTCACGTGAATAACACGCGATTTTGAGTTAGTTTAGTATGTCTCACGATAGTTATTATAAAAATTGTATTCATTGAATACAGACAAAATACTAGTATTTTAACGATTTATTTAAAAAAATTATCACCTTCAGTACCAGTTACGTCACAATATCTGCGAGCAGTCGTTACATATTTACACATCTCTCCATATTACAGAAAAACAATAATTACAAGGAAATATTATGCTCACTGTGAAGTTAAGTCCTCTATACAACTAACTAAACAATTAACTACAATGTATTTAATTGTAGATCGGTATTACTGAGCTTTCTTCAGGTGTGGTGACAATAAATGCTATCGTAAATCCACGTATATATAACTATACATCTATACAACTACTGTATTTATATACAAACCGTTTATATCTTTGTGACCCTGTAGACATGTAGCCTCGATTCTTTAAGCAATATTTCTTTACAAAACGGCCATTATATACACAAAATATTTAAGTTAAACAGGGTCTTAGCACCGAAGTAATTTCGTTATTAGAAAACATTTTTGTATGTAAGTTTTAATTTGGGGCGATGACAAAATTTTTAAAGTGACCCCATATTTTATATATTTCGATAATTAATTAACATACAAAAATATTTCTTACGCAAGTATTACATTTAAAACATTTGGACGGCAACTCGTTTATTATATACAAAACAAAAATCTTATATAACTAAAAGTAATAACTAAAGCGTCTTATAGTAACTAAATGCAAAATCTATGAACAAGAAGACTGTACGAATGCAGGCAGATGACTATAATTAAACTAGTATTATTATGATTGTTAAAAATGATTCGAAATCTGTCAAATGAAATCAGGACCCAAATACTTCAACGGCCTTAGAAATGGTTTCAGACGTCAATGTCTTAGTTAATGTATCATAAATACAGCTCTTTATTTCCACAGAAAATAAACAAAGTAGTACAACATGAAACATACTGTATAGGGTGGAATTAATAAGAGAAGAATCTTGTATTTTCTATGTAAACAAAAAGCGGTTGTGCAGGAACGATATGCGTTAAAAATACTAGGTACTTTCGAAGTGACCCTAACTGGGGCTGGTTGTGTTGCTCCGGGGCTCCGACTTGAGCGCAGCGCCATTTATCCTGGGCGCTATAGCTAGGGTGTTGGTCGCTGCTTGACACTGCGCGCAGGGCTCCAGCCGCCTCGCCAGCACAGCCCGCAGTTTGAGAGCCGGCCCTAACTTCATCTGTAGCATCCCTGTTAGGTGATCTTCTGTGAGAAGAGGGAGACCAGCTCCGTCAATTCTTTGTTCACGGAAATTCTGGAAAAGAAAAACAACGATTGTGTTATTTTCTACTCAAATTTATATAGTAAAAAGACATTCAACATTAATTTGATAGACAGATGTTTCGTAGAACTTTATACGTGAAATCAAAAACAATCAGATGTTTGAAAAAAGTTTTTCTTCATAAAAAAATATTTCAGACATTACAATTTTATTATAACTCAAACTAAAAAAACACAGCAAGTAACAAAAGTCTAAAGTATAAACTTATGAATTTGTGAGGTTTTAATCCAAATAATTTTGGAGATTACAAGGTTTTACAGTACATTAGACATCAACGCGCTGCGGTAAAAGTGCACCTGTCTCCCACAATCTCAGCTTCGTATGGTAGACTACGGAAGTTCTTGATACTTGATTTTTTTTTATATGCCAATAATAATAAATAATAATGGTATTGTAAAACAAACTATCATTTTACAAATAAAAGTTACTGCGTGTTAACTTTAATTACACGACAGAACTGTGTCAAGTCATATTAAATCTGCATTATAGTGTACCACCTTATTACTCTAATTATAATACAGACGTGCTTATACATATTTCATCATAGGCTTTTACCTCTGTTACATAGACGGATATACGCAATTAATATCGATGTAGCTACCAGTTGGGAGGCATTCACTATTTAAATTACTTTATGATAGATTTCAGATGGGTCTATTGTGTTAAATGAAAAGCATCAAGACGATTTGCGGGCAGGTCGCGGGCGGCGCGTCCAGCGACCTGTCATCTCCGCGGGAACGTTGACAAAAACCGCGCCGCCTACGTGACGTCCTGTGCTCCCCCTCTCCCCGCCCGCGCCGCGGCCCGTTTTCCTCTCGTCGCACCGCTCGACCACTTTTTACAGCGCGACATTTGCCCGGAGTTCGATCCGTGTCATCCGACTTATTTCTTTTTTAAATTGCGCCGACGTTCGATTATTTTATTTTTTAATTTTATAAGGCTTCGACCGGCCGTCGAGCGGTAAAAAGCGATAGCGTATAAAAAGTCTATGAATAATTAAAGTGAGATAGCTACTGGCTAGATGATGGGAACGTAGCGGCGACAGGTCGGCGCGGCTCGGCTGAGGGACAGGTCAATTTGCGGCGCTCGTTTTGTTCCTTTTGAGATTGCCATTAGCGTTATCCAGGGCTTGGGAGCAAATTTACTTTTATGCAAATGTGGAGCCATTCGCCGCTGAGCGAGATTAGAAAACTTCTCGTTCTAATATAATGAAATTAAATAAAGTGGAACGAAAGAGCGGCCTGTTGGGACGGCGCAAGTGGTTTGGGGGCATGTTTATGTTTAATGGGGTTTATGGAGCCACGGAATCGGACCGGGACCCTAATGTGTGCCCCGGGGTCACAAGTGACCCCAACCGTTCAAATGAAGCGGAATGATATTCAAGAAAATTGTTTAATTGTGGCTCAAATTACTGGTTCGGGGAAGCAAGCCAGACCTGTTTCGGCGGTGACCTTTTTATCTGGACGGTTCAAAGTCAAAGGGAGAGTCTATGGTGATTTTTTGTTCACATGTTTACCATAGGAGACGTAGGTTTTAGACAAGGGATTTATAGGCTTCAGGAACTGTCGGCTGTGTGCGCTATATACATACTTTAATAGATTTGTACCTATAAGATTTGTGAGAAAAATGTGGTGTAAGTTGTTTAAGATAATTTTTCTTTGAATAAATAATTTCTAGACGTATTTTATTTAGTACTCTACACCATCATCCGATTTCTTCTAGAAAGAGTTTGGCTTCTGATGGTAAAAGTTTAGGCACAGTCATATAATGGTGTAATTGGACATTATTTAATAAACATAATATCTAGAAATATTCAAAGATAAATAACAAAACATAAACGAAACCTAAACATTTGAAAATCGAAGCTCGCGGCCATTAATAAGCCTTTAGATAAGTCATAAGTTAATATCACATTTTGACGAGGACAGCTGCTTCGATATAAATTGGTTATTATCACGTAAGGCTGCGCCTGCGCTTGTTTTGCCGCGCACTCTGGGAGCCTGTGGGTAACTAACGTCGAGCCTACATTATTACGCGCCCTGTGCACTTAACAGGTTGCGCAGGGTTGCTGGGTAACTTGATCCAATGATGGAAATTGACATTTTATAAATAAAATTACTATTAATGACACTTACGGAATGGAATATTATTTTTGAGGAGTATTATAATAGGGTTGCGTTTGTGGTTAAAACTTTTTATCTAAAATGAGGCTTAGCATATGTAAAGGTTATGAGAAAGTAAATTATGTTCATCTTCGATACTAATAAACCTAAAAGATAAATAAACCTACATACATCGAAGCTCTACAAAGGGTACAAAAAAGTTTATTTAAAGTGCACTTTATAGCAACATTCCCTTCCATCTCCATATAATTACAACCAGTTACGAACAAAAACAAACGCGTATACTTAGCAGCCCTATTTTGCAGATACTGCGTATCGCCCGCGGCCATGAACCGCAGCGCGCGCGCAGCAGCCGCGTCCCGAACAGGTTGCAGGGGAGCAAAAAAGGTTAAAGTATGTTCCCCTGAGGTCGAGCGGGGTGCGGGGCGCGGGCCGAGGGGGGCTAATGACAGGGGCGGCGCGGCGCCCGCGGCCGCTACCGCGCGCAAATTGATGCCTGCGCCCTCTGCCAAACCTTTGCTCCCGGCTAGTGATGCGCCGCCACGATAAATTGTGACAAGCACGTTCTCGCCAGAATTATACCGACGTTTATCGACCGAGCGATCCGAGCGCGAGTTATTGAAGTGCTGTTTGTTGCTCAGTTAATTTTACAAGTGAATATTTTATGGTAAATAGCAATCAGTAGTTTGAATTTTAAATTGCTGACGTCTAGTTTGCAACGGCGTAATTTATAACAAAAACAGAGGCACTCATAAAACTGTGAAATGTAATTAGGCACTTAGAAATCATAAACATACGTGTAAGTAGAATCGTAATTAATGTCTGTGCCATGAATTAGATCGCAAATCACAGGTAGCACTCTAACGGTAATTTAATCAACATGATAATTAAGTTCAAATACAGAGTGCAACAATTATACATACAACATTACAAAGAACAATACGTAACCCGCAATTGTACAATGTAATAACACATTATCGACATCGAGTATCGAACGATAACATCACTATTCGGAGGCTGGGCTATAAAGATTGCTATTAAGTTTAAAGCATGGAACGCACAGGGCTTCAGTTAGGGTTGGCACACGTGTTTAGAGAGTAAATATGGCACGTAGTAAACTAAGTTAGGAAAACAATAGTAGGCGGAATTATATCGGGAAGTGTTTTTTGGAGTTGAGTTAATAATAATTAACTTCAGATATTATCAATCCATACGTTTTCCGAGTGTATAAAAAGAAAGTACTGTGATCTCGGAAACATATACTTATGGAATAGAAGATAGAAAAAAATGTCTACATTGAAGTAAAACTTATCCATAAGAAAACTGTATGTAATATTCAGTTTTATCAGGATAAAAAGAATTAAAAAAAGAAGGCAAAGCGAGCTTAGAAAAAAAAATAGTGTTTGTTAGTAATGAAATAGAATAGTTGATAGCCCTATCAGTCTTATATTTAGTGGTGAGTGACGGTGCACGGGTGAGTTCTACCGACTCTACCGTAATTATAATCTGAGACCATCGCATCGCCATTTCTCAAAGCCTTTTATTTTTACAGTTCCATTAAATACTCGAGGTTACTGTGTGACTCAATAGCTGGTTAGATATTTTGTTTTGGAACTGAAAGTTATCAAAGAATACTTCAGAATTACTATTTGATACTCGAATGGCTGAAAATTTCATTTTCTATTCGTAGGTTCCGTAAGAAATGGGAGATATGTAGTTGCGAAGAAAATTAAGCCTTACCGAGTTTATTTAAACAAACTAGTACATATACGAGAAACAATTAGCCATTAAAATAATAGACACCAATGGTCATCTTAAAGTTATTATTGCAAGTAAACTTTGAATATGTAAAAAAACCGCCAAGGTTCATTGCACAGAGTCTGAATATGCGCCTAATCTAGGTGCAAGGTGAAAGTACTCAGGTAAAAAGGTAGCGTGGAAAATGGCCCAAAATGTGCAAAAAAGGTTGGAACCCTTTGTCATTCAGATTTTCAATAATAGAATATTATTTATGTCCCATATGTCATATTTCAGAGGTAGATAGACTTGAAACAGACTTTGGTATGCTAAAACATAATGAAAAACATTCAATGATATGCATAGCATTGTCCAAAGTAAGAGGTAAGAGGTCAGGGCGTTGCGCGGACGCATTTTTTTATCAATTGTCGTTTTACACTAACTATTCCGACTTTCTAACTTTTACTTTAGTAATGGACTCCATTAGTACTTGGCCACTTATGTTATTAATTTTTTACGTCTTTAGTAAAAAGTCGTTTAATTGCGTGAAGGTATGCCACCTCGTGAACTATCACTTTGATAGTAATTGCCTCCGTACTCGTACGTTGCTATTTTTAGTACTTTTTTTATTTATTGTGAACATAATGGTATCAATTTGAGGTTTTTGTGGCGCTACTCGAAGTGGTGTGTATCTGTTACCCGTACCTGATACGTATTTATTAATTTATTATCTAGTTCTTATTAATATTACGTTTATGTTCAGAAACTTAAATATAATGTTATTTTTTATAATAATAGTTTCCGCGGTACGTAGGTATGTATTTATTACAGACGTTACATATGTAGGTATATATGTATCCACCACAAAGTTAGAATACATTAACATTAAGTTATATCTATGGGCGTAACAAACTTATTATTTATTCATACAAGAGTTGTGAATGAAACTAGTCTCGTATAAGATATCGTATGGCGTAAAAGTTTAATTAGGTATTTGTTTTTTTCTTCATTTCATTACCTACACATTTTTTGTAAAATATCTTAGCTCTAAATACTTGTAACGTTTTACTTATCGAAGTTAAGGAGAAACTATGATATCGGTTTGATACGTAA